TCTCAGGAAGAACATTTGAGAGCAAGCAAAGGAAGAAAGATTGGTAGAGGGAGAAGCTAACCTGCAGTGAATTTTTCTAAGTAAAATAAGACATGGACAGAAAGATAAATTATGCATTCTCCCAGTTCTATATGGAATCTAAAAAAGTTTGAACTCATAGAAGCAGAGAGTAGAATGGTGGTTACCAGGGGTTGGGAACTGGGGAGATGTTGGGGAGTCCAGGAGACGATGGTCAAAGAATATAAAATTTCAGTTAGATAGAAGGAGTAAATTCAAGAGCTCCATTGTACACCATGGTTATGATAGTTAATAATAATGTGTTATATTTTGAAAATTGCTAAAAGAGTAGATTTTTAAGTGTTCTCACCACAAAAAGTAAGTATGTGAGATAATGCATACGGTAATACATATAGTTCTACTGACCCATTTCACAATGTACATATATATATGTATTTCAGAACCTCATATTGTATAGGATAAATATATGCAATTTTTGTCAATTAAAAATCAAATTACATACAAAAATAGAAAGTTTAGAAATGCACACATCATTAAAAATTCTACACTGAAAGAAAGCTGGTGTGAATATACTATTGTTAGATATGGTAAAATTCAATGCAGGAAATAAAGTATATTACATGATAAATAGGTAAGCAATTAGAGGTGTTCAACACACACACACACACACACACACACACACAATAGCTTACCTTCATGATGTAGAAAAACAGAATTTCGTACAACTAAAAAGAAAATGGACAAATGTGTAATCATGAAAGGGGATCTTAGTACATACCTCTTTACTCTTTTGCATCCAGGTGATCTGGATTTGACAATCTAGGGGAAGTGTAGCTATCAATATTTTAAAAGCTCAACAGATGATTTTGTATGTGTTCCTTCCCTTTGTAATACTTTCCNTCTCACTTTTGTTGCCAGGCTGGAGTTCAGTGGTGCGATCTTGGCTCACCACAACCTCCTCCTCCTGGGTTCAAACGATTCTCCTGCCTCAGCCTCCCGAGTAGCTGGGATTACAAACATGCACCACCACACCCAGCTAATTCTGTATTTTTTAGTAGAGACGGGGTTTCTCCATGTTGGTCAGGAAATCCAAGCTATTTTCAAGGAGAGCTGTAAACACACATGCTCCATACAAATACGCACTATTTCTTTAATTAAGAAATTGATTTCAGCCGGGAATGGTGGCTCACACCTGTGTTCCCTGCACTTGGTAAGGCAGGTAGATGAATGGGTTGAGGCCAGGAGTTTCAGACCAGCCTGGGCAACATAGAAAGATAGACTCCACCTCTATAATAAATAAATAAATAAAAACAATTAGCCAGGCATGGAGGTGCACCAGTAGTCCCAGCTGAGGCTGAGGTTCAGAGGCTACGGTGGGAGGATCCCTCAAACCAAGGAGTTTGAGGCTGCAGTGAGTTAGCATGGCATCCCTGCATTCCAAACAACAAAATGAAAGAAATAGATTTAACTTAACTATTATCAAAACCAGTGCTCCTACTCTTTCCCATTAATCCCTAATCCATTCTTCTTTCTCACGAGTGACATTTGTTCATCTGTCAACACCCTCACATGGATAGAACTGCTGTTTTCCAATGGCAAATGGAAATGGCTCACACACTTCAGGATTGCAAGTGATATGTCTCATGAATATTTAGAAAGACAGACAAGGTAAAAATCATGTTTCCTGTTAGAATTCAAAGTAAAACTTGGACTGAATTAAAAACTGCTTTTGTCAATACATCATTCTATTTCTTTTTCTTCAACTGATAGGTCAGGTCACTTATACAAAATGATTCTATTGTATCAAATTATTGTTATGAAGTGTCATTAGAGAGACAAAGAGAAAGAGAGGGAGAATGACTACAGGCTGCTAGTTTTATTTTGCCTAATACTACCCAGCTCTGTTACAGTTTGGTATTGTAACTTTTACCAGGTTGAATTTTGGAAATTATTTCAAACATATTTTCCTAACTTATTCAATTTCTGTAAATTTTTCAGTAGTAAGAACTTTTGAAATGGAATGTGAATGTTTAAGCCTTCCTTCACTTATCTGGGTGAGTGATTTTGATGAGTACAAGCTTAGTCTGCCCGATGCAGGTAATTTATTCTTGAAAAACCACTTGTTAAGTGAATTCTCATAAGTAAAAAACATCATTACCATTAATTTTTATGGACATTGCTTTATGCTAAGACAACGCCAAAGCCCATTAAAGTCGGCTCAATTACTTCAACAGACACATTAGTTAAACAACCTAGCAAAGCCTCTTCTCTTCATTAATTATGCCATAATATGGCTATTCACCTACTCTCATTAAGTTCTTGTAGTGCCATTATGCAATATATACTTAAGATGATTCTTACAAATAAAACGTATTGAATACTCAATGTTTACATAGTTCAGTTTTTATTGCAAAGCAACCACAACTGGAAGACCAGAAACCTCACAGAAAGCAAGAACAAATTATTTCAAACTCACCAAATAACTCGACATCCTCAGGGCATCAGATTATCACTGATGTAAACTACAAAACGCCACACCACTGAGGCAAGTAATGCATCGAGATCCATCAACAACTGTGAGAATGGCTGCACAGTGCTGCTATTCTGTCTAGGTTCAGCTGCCAGTGTGAAATCCAGAATCCAAATCCGTCCTCATAAATGCTAAGAAGTGTCTCACCAGCCTAAGTTGGGGTATAGGACAAAACTTTGAAAAAAATCAAATTCATGTCATTCTACTTGATGTGACATACCTAATTCCTCAATCTGAGTTTTAGATTGTTTATATGATAAATCACGCTAAGCAATTAATATCACAAGTGCCTTTAGAAATAGGGTCTTTTAAAGGTTTCATTTGCCTGAACCAGTTGGAGATATTTATTTTCAATGACTCAACAAAGAATCTCAGTTTCCCACGCTGTCTGAGGAATTCGCCAAACTTCAATGGCTATGTGAGTTACAGTGTAGCAGCTGCCAAAGGTATTGTTGCCCCAGGTACCCGCCCTCATTACAGCCTTGACAGAAAACAACTATGTTCCAAGGATCTTTTATGTCGTCTGTATCTTCCGACACTTTTCTTCATAACTACAAGTTAGTTGTCAATTCTTTGTCTGGATTTATTCCGAAAAATAGTATCCTGAGAAAACACAGCTCAAGGACAAAGAACAACTTCAAAATTACAGTATGACCAAAAACACTTGAATCTTTTTTCCTTTTTAAAAGAATCATGAACACAGGAAATGAGCTTTAGCCTTTATTTTTGCCTTGTCTTAAGAGACATTCAATAAGGAGCTGAAAATGAAGTATGCTTCAAACTTTAAAGGCAATGATGAAATGGAAAGAAGTGGTCCTTCAAAACTATAAAAGCAACTTCAACCAGGCTAATACTATTTCAAAGAAATGGGCCATAATAGCATCGACCGCTTCATGTTTTGTGCATTCCCTCTACAGTACATCAACAGGCTTCTTCCAAAAGTGTATGGACAAAATACTTTGAGTTGAGATCTGTAGCCTTAGCCTTCTAAAGATGATACCTGTAGGTTGTCATGGTAACTCACAGGGCGCCATCTTTAAAAGCATTAAACTCAGGAAAAATACACACAGAAATTTCAGCCCTAAAAGCTATTTCCCCAAATTTTCCATTATCCTTGCATATCTTTTTCTGCTTAGAGACTTGCTTTAATTTTTATTTTCATCCAATGCCCCAGAAATGCAGAATATTAAAACAAATGAAAAAATTGCTTGAAGTCCTTTATTATAAAATTTCCATGATAAGTTTTATACTAGCTTTTAAACTGATGCACGTTGCTCCCCACCCCACAAATGTATTTTCCATTATACTGACTTTTTAAATGTAAATATTCTCCTTTTATCCATAGACACCATTTTTATTCTTAATCCTCTTTACATCAGTCTATAGTCAATGTTAAGGGGAGGGCTTCTCCCTTACTTTGAAACTTCAAGATCCAGCTGTCAATCCATTTGCCAATAGTTTGGAGAAATAATGACCTTCCCTCCTCCCTTATAGCACTTATTTTTGCATGTCAGTCATATAGGACCTAGAAAATTAAACTTGGATCTTCATTTATCTTCTCATTGGCATCCGCTCCCCTCCAGCTGTATCGTAGCTATTAGAAGACAGTGAGGGTGCCTTACGACTCTTCATAGCTCTAGAATTAGCAGCACTCCACAATAAATATTTTATGACATAGAACCCCAATTTAAAGATAAACGGACTTTGAAGATGATCAAATCTACCCCATTTGTTGTAAATGAGGAAAAAGAAACAAGGAGAGTTAAAGCATTCTGCCCAGTGTTACGTCCAGTTAAAAACACTATTTTGAGGTCAGCAAAGAGGATCTCAATCTCTTTTCTGCTAGTAGTACCTAGCAAAGAAGGAAAACAGAGATTCTTCATTCAAAGAACAAAGTAGCTAATAGCCATTCCTGTTTTCCATGCCATATTAAGTAAGGTTGTTTTGAGGTTCAAATTAACCAATATGCTGTACCTGAGAGTGTGTTAAGTATTATCCAAATATTAAGCATTATTAACGGGAAATGCTTTTTTAAAAGCCCATGGGAAAAGAGGAATGGAAAAAAAGAAATAAAAAATGTATTGATAATAGTTAACAGTATCTTGTTTTTGATTGACAGGCAATATCATTCCAGAAAAATGGCTGCATTTAGAAAATGAATAGCAAGAGAAAATTCTAATGAATAAGCTCAAGGCCTCCAGAAATGAGAATGAAAATAACCAGCATAAGGCAATGGCTAATCAGAAACCTAGACTAGCCACAGGGTATTACAGCTCAGATTCTCTTCCTCCCCTGAATTTCTTCGTAGTTAAACCTACATGGGAAACTCTGGCTGGGGAGAGTCCATGTGTGTATGTGCCAAGAAGATCCTCATGTTCTTTCAGTTCATGTGTGTCTGCAGCAGAGGCAATGGAAGAAAATGACCAAAGGGAGAACAATACAGGTAATTAGGCATGAACCTAATGCAATATGTATGGTGATTACATTGATTTGCGTGTATGTCTGTGTGTGATTTAAATTCCTGATATATTTATTTAAAAGGAAGTTGACTAATAACAGCTTACAGATATTCAAGACCTCACAGGCTGAAAAGCTTACATTTTCCAGATGAACACTCTCCACATGGCTCAGAGGTAGGAACAGTTGTTCTCATTCCTATTTATTGGTGAGCCTTGGACTAGTCAGGTAATTTGTACAAAGTAAAATGCCAGAGGGCTCTGATTCTAAATTCAGGGCCTAGAAATTTTAGAGAAGGCTATGCTTTGCTTCTTTTTTATAGGCTGCGGTTAAGACTCTGTCACTTACCTGAAGGATGTTTCATGAAGAATGGGCAGATACAAGAAAGGAAATAAAATTGCTATTGTATAACCAGGCAATAGGAGTAGCTGAGTGGCTTTTTTGGCTTGAAATGATAATTGAATCAAAGGAGCAATACTATGTGTGTCTCCTACTACCTGAAAAGATCATACCTAATTGGTGAGAGTTTCTGCAAAAGAGACTAAATTAAAGAAGAAATAACTGTGTGCCACTGTGAATGCTGTCCACACTAAATTGTTAGGGGGCCATTTGAATTTAATTTTACATGAACAATTATTGCAGTGATCACTGGTGATCATCAGAATAAAGTTAAGAATAACAATTACCCTTATAAAGCATGTTACCAAATATTAGGCTGATTAGGGAATAATGATTTAACAGTTGTGCCAATATTAATAATCAATCATGAAGGACTGGAAAAAGAATTGATGAATTCTTTTTCTAAAACTGCCTAGAAACACAGACGGATATTGGAAGTTGAAACCTAACTAGGAAAGAATGGATGACAAACACTAAGACCACCTTGTACCACACTCGGGAGATTCCCAAAGATCAATCTTATCCCAGCAATGGCTGTGCAATGGTTAATAGAGCTAACCAAGACAGAACAGATTCTGAGGTTGGTTAGTAAAATTATCACCTATAAAATGAAAAAAAAAAGTTAAATGGAAAGATTTGTGTAAGCTTCTTAGATATTGTAAAAGAGACATCAAAAGCATTTAGAGCTTGGTGGTCCTGCTATCAAATTCCCACTGAAGGTTCGACCCAAAGACCTGTGTTGGAGTTGGTATCTTCAGGTGGATTCTGTAACCATCAACTTCCTGTGCAGGAGGACACATGTATGTGCACCTGTAGGTTTGTATGCATGTGAGCCTGTAGATGAAATTCTGAAATTAATAAATCTTCCACAAATAAAAATTTAGTCTTTAAAATATGCTTTCTCCTTCTTTTCATAAAAATTTACAGTTAGACACAATATTGACTTTTTGTTTTATATCATCTCCTCAATTCTAATGATGGCAATTTTCAGATTGAGTCACCATGACACAAAATCAGAATGCATGATTAAGAATAAATAAAGCCATGATTTTCATTCATTGAAAACATATCACGTTTTAGGCCAGGCATGGTGGCTCATGCCTGAAATTCCAGTGCTTTGGGAGGCTGCAGTAGGTATATCACTGGAGGTCAGGAGTTGAGACCAGCCTGGCCAACATGGTGAAACCCCATCTCTACTAAAAATACCAAAATTACCTGTACAAGGTGGTGCATGCTTATAATCCCAGCTACTTGGGAGGCTGAGGCAGGAGAATCCCCTGAACCCAGGAGGCAGAGATTGCAGTAAGTCAAGATCACACCACTGCACTCCAGCCTGAGAAACACGGCGAGACTTCATCTCAAAAAAAAAAAAAAAGGAAAGAAAGATACAAAAAAGAAAACATATCATGTTTCAGCACTGTAGCACTGTACTAAAGCATTTTGCCCATATTATCTTCTTTAATCCTCAAAACAAAACTATTAGGTGAATATAAGATCACTTCCATCTTATTAATGAAGAATTTGAAGCTTCAAGTAGTTAGATTTGTCACAGATTGAGATTTCAACCAGATATTGTCTGCCTACAAAGCCTATGTTTTAGTTATTTTAACATCCAACCTATATTGTCCCCTAGTAGGAAGCAGAGAGGCAAACAATGAGCATCTAACAGGTCAAGGGGCACCTTACGACTTCATAGTGGGGAAGAAAACACATTCCTCATTCCAGAATGGCGTTCAGATGAGAGAAATGAAGGTCGATTCCAAGGCCCCCAGCCTTTGTCCCTGCCTGCATTGGTAGAGAGGGGTCTTTTCAATGGCCAACTTACAAACAATGGGATATTTCTGGTAGTAGACAAAAAGCCAGGGCTTCAGTGGGGTTTCCTGTGTTGGCATGGCTGGCTCAGAGTCTGGATCTGGAAAACGAGTTTGAATTCGTTTCTACAGAGAACAGATACTCTTGGTGGATCCATGCCTCTTGAGGCTGCATCTCTCCTCAGAAGATCTGACTCATATAACTAACTGCCTCCCTGAACTCTTCACAAACACGTATCAAAGGAATCTCAATAATTTTATGTCCAAAATCAATTCCATGACCTTCCCCAAAGATCTGATCCCCTTCCAGTGCTTCCCATCTCAATGAATGGAACCACATCAACCCACACTCACAAGCCAGAAACCCAGAATTCATAACTGGTAACTCATGTTTCCTCGCTCATGTCAAATGCATCATCAAGACCATTTTCTTCTTTGTCTGCACCGCATCTCTCTTGATCCAAGCAATCTTCATCTCCCACCT